ACATTTGACCCGTCCGGTCGTTATTTTCCGACCCGAGTAATACCTCTACTGTATACTCTTCGCCAGTGTATAAAATCTGAATCATGTGTACATTGATTTTATACACTGCTCTTTGCATATTCTGGTCCACTAAAATTACAACGTAGAGTTCCAATCCGAATAAATCTGTCATCTGTTTATCCGTATCTGAATTATCCAATCTCTCAATTATCTGGATAATTCAGATTATCAGGGTATTAATAGTAAAATGGATATCCGAATAAATTCAGATCCAGTTATCTTATAAATAAATGGATAAACGGATAGTGGATAGGAACACTATTACAGCGCATATATTGTTAAAATAAATAACCTTATCATGATTTATCTAAGACTTAATAATGATGTTATTTATTTTAGAAACATTTGTTAAACATAATAAATATGTACTGTAAATGCTGTACAAATTATTGTTATACAACACAAACATGCAAAAGGAAAATAAAGGAGTATGTAAATTTAATTTAAACACCTTCTTTATGTTATCCGTGAACAAAAAATAAAAAATCTTATAAAAGATGAATCTTTTATATAATTGTTATTTCACTCGTTATATTATATATTACATAAATTACATCTGGATAAGAAATATTAAGTCAATCATTTTGATTGCATTTATCTCCTTATTTTTCACTATCTTAACATTTTGGAATCACGATAATGTTGAGAAGTTTCTCGACTTGAATAAAGAATCAACTTTTCACAATGATTTAATGAGAAATGAATATAATGTGAGTTTCGTAATGAATTTGAGTTTAATGCTCGGAGATATCACTTAAAGTCGATTATTTAATTTTTTTTAGGACATAAGCATCACATATGAGAAGCAGGTTTATGATTTGTTTTCCATATTAAATAATGAAACCAATGATAATAACATATCAAACGATTTAAATAATGATTATTTAAATGACGTTGATTATGATACAAAAATAAACCAAAAATATTGTGGATCGAATACTTGTAGATTCTTATTCTTATATCGACCTCCAGAACAAGAGACACGAGCAAATTTTCATTTCAAGACAATCACTGAGCTCGCTGAGAAACTTAATCGTACAATGGTCTTAACAAATGTTGGACAATCTAGGATAGGTTTATGTCAGCAATTGCCTTACAATTTTTATTATAACATAGATGCTTTACAAGAAAGTTTTCCAAATATGAAATTCATATCACAAGCAGACTTCCAACGATGGACTCGTGAGCGTCGCAACAAACCAGATACATCTCATATATACATTAATATTAACAAAAATAGAAAACCAAATACCTTTGATCTTGTAGAACCTTATGTAGAAAAATTATTAAAAAAAGAATGCTTCAGTAAATTCCAATTAAAAATGGATGATAACATGGTTTTCAAGAATGTCAACATTGGACCAATGGGATTATGGAGAGCTAACAGATCATCAAATTTAATTATGGAAAAATATTTGACCACACAATTAGATATGAATACAGAAGTATTATTGATAAGTCACGACCTTCGATCTCATTTATTTGTGAATAAAAAAAACATATCTATTCCATATGCAAATCATCTTATAAAAGCTGCTAATAAAGTAGCAAACGAACTTAATTCTTATATAGGAATTCACTGGCGTATGGAAACAGGCATGACCAAATCAGCGATTCGATGTGCAAATTTGCTTGTGAAATGGATTAATTCAACGAAAAAGGCTACCAAAATATCTAATGTTTATTTTGCTACTGATTATCCTATTGGTGGTATGGAAAAAGCCCAATCAGGCACATTTCATGTAGTAACGAAAGAACAACATGATGCAGTGAGAGTTTTGAATTCTTCAATGTACTTGAATACTTGGAAGTCTACAAACTCTCTAGGATATCTTAATGAATTTCCAGAATTAAATAAAATAATTCAAAAAGAGTTCAGTGGAGCAGGCGTACAAGGAATTATAGATAAATTGATTTTAACATTATCGGATTATTTTGTTACTGGATCAGAAGGATGTTGTAGAACTCGTAGCTCTTTTACTGGAAAAATTATTCAAGCAAGAATGGCAATGATGAAAAATGGGAATCCAAGGATAAAAAACATTGTGTCGCGTTGGTAATTACTTGAGAATATGAAATATGAATATTTAATATTTATATTTTCATTAATTGCCAAAATGCCTTTATAAAGTATCCCCGGATACACCATAACTAATGCCAACTAATATAACCGACATATGATATCAAATTTACATTTAATTTAATGAACATTTTTCTGCTAATGTTGAAACTCACGTAATAACAGAGTTTAAGTAAATTTGGTTTTCATTTTTTATTTTTTAAATTTTAATAACAAATAGAAAAATTCTTTTAACTTTAAACATGTACATTTGCTATTTTTTTCAAATAAATAATTGATGCATATAATTGATTAAATTGTATGAATAATATGAGATAATAAGTTTTTCTCAAAAAAAAAAAAAAAAAGGAACGTTTGTGGCTTGAAGTTTCGTCCAAAGAACTAACTACCTTTCACTCTACCCTTGTAAAAATTTTGGCATATAAACTATCTGTAACCTTGACCTGATGATAGTAATGATAATAAGATGCTAAAAATGCACAGATACACTATTTTAAACCAACTTATTAAAGCTTTTTAATTATATCCCGGATAGTTGAGTATAAGCAGAAATTTACAATTGACGTGATCGGCTACGTAAGCATCGCGCGATTAAATCACGTAGTTATATCTCGTGCGAGATAAATAGAAAAGTTTAGCAATTGGTAGTTTAATAATATGAAGCTATTTCACATCTCGTGCGAGATTGCATAATGTATAAAATATATGCTAGGCTTATTTCGCAGTACTTTCTCGATTTTTAAATTAAATACGGACCCGCAACTAAATAAAAAAGAAATTTAATAGACTTTAGTTGCGAACATAAATCTAGGTAAAGTTTGCAAGTGTTTGAGTTGCAGATTGCAGATTGCAGTCTGCATTCCGCTTACATTCAATACTGAATTATCCTAGCGATGGGAATTTCTAATTATTAATTGTTAATAATATGAATTGTTAATAAATCATTTTGACAATTAAATTGAACAATTTCATGTTAACAATTAATAATTAGAAATTCCCATCGCTTATCCCTTACAACTTAAACGTTAAATACGTTAAATACGTATTAATGAATGCTGCACAGTTGAAATTCCGTAAGTAAAAATTAAAATTCCACTACGCTGAACTTAACCCTGGAGAATTGTGATATTGAACACGTGTACAATCTGTATTCTGGTCATTTTGGCCTAAGCTGTAAAATGACCAGAACAAGGACGCGAAAATTATAAAACCATATCCGTAAAAAAACGGGCTAATTGGTTACAAATCACGTTGTCTGTTAACTCCTATTAATCGAGAATTGAGAGTTTTTTTTTTTAAAAAAAAAAACGGTGGACCAAAGTACTGATTGTACACGTTTCAATATGAGTGCCGCCAAGGAAAAACCTGTCATCGGGCTTTCAATTATATTTTGTGTACAGTTAGCCATCTATGGAAAATCTATCATAATAAGGTTTTTCATAGATAGCTAACTGTACACAAAATACAATTAAAAGTCCGATGACAGGTTTTCCCTTGGCAGCACTCCTATTACTATGTACGTACTATTTACCGTTACCGTTACAGGTTTTTGTCAAATACGTTTTGGGCGACCTGCATTTTTTCGGTTTAGTTTGTATTCTAAAAACATATCGCTTTGACATGTTTAAAGATAAATTCGTAGAAGCTAGTTTGTCGATTATATTAATAGGAACAAGTTCGAAGAGATTCAATATAATAAAAAATTATTTTGATTTTATTATATGTAGATAGCGATAGCTTAAATTAATTATACGATTTTTTTCATAAATAGTGCGATTAATCAATGCCAAAAATTATTATTGAAATACTGTAATTTTTGTAAATATTGTAATTTTTTTGTATTAATGATCTTTTTTCGTAAATTAAACTATAGCATTTAATTAGTTAAGTTTGCAACGCTAGTATATACAACAGGAGGAAACGTTGAAGTTACACAACTGATTTTTCACACGGCGTGAAACACAAAAAAATTATTTTACAATACTTGATCGGACTTGGTCAGTCAGCTAGTACTGTACATGTTACGATTATAATCCAGCATCATTTTTTTATAATAAAAAATGATGTTGAATTATAATCGTAACATGTACTAGCTGACTGACCAAGTCCGATCAAGTATTGTAAGATAATTTTTTTATGTGTTTCACGCCGTGTGAAAAATCAGTTGTGTAACTTCAACGTTTCCTCCTGTTAGTATATACATAAAAGTTACGTGAATGGAATTAGCAGGGAATAAACTCCGCTTGTAATAATTGCGTATTGATTGTGATACAGAAATGTGAAAATTTATCTAGAGGATGACATAATATAAAATATATGACACATAAACAAATATTTTACGCGTGCTGACGAAGGTTTCGACAAAATAAGCTTTTTTTTTTATGTTCGATTTATATGATATGCAAAAACAATAAGTATTCGCAAGTGTCGCAAATGAAAACTGGAAATTTTTATAACATTTCCAAATTTTTATTTTGCGAAATTTAATTAATCTTTTTCTAAAATCGATGCCTTAAAAATAGATTAACTTTATTTAATAGAGTTAGGTCAGAGTGTATAATATTGACCAGTCAATATTATCAATTACAGTTGTAAATTTATGAATAAAATTATTTACCAAACTTTAAAAGTAAAAAAAATAATGACGGAAACTTCCGATGATACTATTCTAAATTATGGGGCAATTACAAATTAGGAAAACTATATCGGAATTCGTCTCCGGGAATTTAACCGAAATTTTTATATTTATTGATACCTAAAAAATTTCGATATTTAAATTTGAACGAAAAGTAATTCTTCCATTCTGATACCAGATATACCACCTAATAATCACTTATAACTCATAATTAAAAATATCGAGATGTCGGTTGATGATTGTAGAAATCAAGTAATGAACTGTACTGAAGCCGATGAGGTACGAGTTGAAGTCAATCAAAGGCATTTGATTGATAAAATGTTGGCACGGTGAGATTCCAATTTATTACGTATTTACGGTTTCAATTTGAATGTGTAATTACTCTTTATTACATCTGATTTGAAATTTTTTTTAATAGATATGCGTCCGAGTTTGTAATATTCAGGGAATTGATGCAAAACGCAGGTTCAAATTTTTGTTAACATGAATGCCTAATTTTTGAGTAATACTAATCTAGTAACTTTATTTAAAGATGATGCAAAGTCTACAACCGTCGAGATAATATTTAATATTGAAAAATCTGGTAAACTCAATACAATTACGGGTATAAATGATGTCAGACATACAAAATATGCAAGAATTCAATTCAGAAATAATGGATTCGCTTTTAGACCAGAGGATTGGAATCGATTAAAGAAGATTGCCGAAGGAAATCCTGATGAAAAAAAGGTACTCAATCTTCCCGAAACATTGGCTAGAGTGCGTTTTTTATTATCTCAACATATACGTAGATTGATCATCAGTATTATTTTTGTTTATGAAAGATTGGCGCTTTCGGTGTTGGATTTTATTCCCTATTTTCCGTTTGTGAACAACCATTGTAAGCTTTTCATAATGGCATTTATTTTTCGAACTCGATATAATCTTTATTATTATTATTATTTTATTTTGCCACAGTGTGTCTTCTGGCGGACAGGGTATGGCATTTTATTGGCATGGCGATCAATTATTAGCGAAGCAAGCTACAACAAGCGTAAAAGATGAATGGACTACATTTCTAATGGATGTGAGAGAACCTACAGAAGTAATAAATTACAATATTTCATTTCCTTTTTAAATCAATTATATTACGTACGTACTGAACTGAACGACCCTTATCGTTATTAGTTGCCAGATTTGGACAGATTTGGTCGATTTTTGGCCACCTCACTGGTAAGATCATAGGCTATACCGCAAATTCTTGAAATAGCGAGCATCTGCGCACTATTCTGACTACGTGCGCGTTATTTCGAATACGCCCATGGGCGTTATTTTGAGATAAAGTATTAATTCTGCAATCCGATTGTTGCTAATATTATAAACAGATCGAATGAATAAGTATCAGGTAAATATCGGATGCAAGACTTCTGATATGCTGTATTTAGCGGTAAGTCAGGTGCATATTGGGAGTTTTGTATTCCGATATTTACCTGATACTTGCTCTTCGAGGTGCGCGCTATTTCGGGACGCGCATGGGCGTTATTTCGAAACCATCTATGCTATTTTTAGGGGGCGCGATTTTCGAAATAACGCCCCTGCCTGCTATTTCGAGAATTTACGGTAGATGTATTTTCTTTCGTACAGTAGCAATAGTACGTACTGTACAGTACATACTGTCAGTTATCCAGATATCGATGATATAATTTATAATCGGCAAAAATTTCGTAATTATATTCATATCTGACAAAAAAATTATATTATTGCACTTTTTATAGGGATTTACTGTTAACCTTCGTGAAGTTTCTGTATATTTTGATGATCATAGTCACTGCATTATTCATTTAAAAAAACAAATGGGTAGCCCACGACCAATGGCAATCCGATCTGACATAAACAAAAATTCTCCAAAAAATATGTTTAAACTCGAATCGGTCGAAGTGCGTGATGTACAATTTAGCGTTCACAGAATTATTCCGTCAGATGTGTCATTATCCAAGTCTTTATTCAGTAGTTATCCAAAAGAAAATGCATCAATACATCTTTGTGTCGCTAGCGGTAACTTGAAGGTTCAAGTTCAGAAAGAATTTGTTGCAGAAATGGAACGAATGACAAAGAAAAAACCTCCTAGTCAAACCACTATGCAATTGATTTTCACTAGAAACGATGATAACTTTGAATTTAAAAATAATATGTCTAAGATTTTCCAAGATTTATTACCATTTCCTGAACAAGGTCGGGTCTTTATTGGTTTCCGAACGCATCAAACAACCGGCTGTTCTGTACATATAGCAGCTCGCGTTATTCCAACAGTAAGAATGTATTTTATTTTTCATTAAGCATCTTTTTGTGCTATGCTAAATTAATTTTTTATAGGTTGAACGAGAATCAATAGATTTTGCTGATAAAACTTTGTCTGCGTATAATAGCGAAATGTTGTGTTTAGCCGGTGTATTGTGTCGCTTATTATATGAAGACGAAATGAATCAAGTAGCAAACTCATATCTAAAGATGAAGTTGACAGATTCAGTCCGAGAATTACTTGAGAAACGTGCGGCGCATGCACTTGCTCATTTTAACTTTCATCCAAGCACACCAGATCCTCAAGCAGGGAAAATAATCGAAACCCAATTTTTCAATTGTGATGACTCATCATGGTTTCCAATTACATCCACCAGTTGTGTCGATACAATCAGTAAAATACGATTACCTAATCCAGAGGTGATGACTTTTGTAAAATCAGTTCCTGTTGTTCCAAAAATCGTGATAGATCAATGTGAAGCATTTTTCAAAAAAGCAAAAGACAAAAAACTTATCGAAGAAATTTCGATAAATGATGTATTCAAGGAATTAAAAAGCCGAATTCTAAGTCAGGAAGAAATAGTAGACTTAATACAATGGTGGATATCATATTGTTCAAAGCAAAGTGTCCCAAAAGATCAATTTGATCAATTTATGAAGTTAGCTATTATACGTGTTGGAAAATCTGATTTATCTCTGAGAAACATTCGTCATTTCTTGAATCCATGTAAGATTCAACCAGATGCTGATCTACCACCTAATTTATTGCCATATTGCATTAGTAAAAAGTTCAATAAAGATGACTTTAAATGTTTTAAGTACGATTTCGTTATTCTTCATAGCAATAGTGATTTTTAAATCTTTGTATCATTTTGTCTTTAACACGTTATCGTTTCACAGTTGGACAGAACTTTCACCAGTTGAATGGACAAAATATATTGTTGAAAAACCTGAATTAGAGAACGATGCTAAATATGTGGATAAATTTTGGGAAGTCCTTTCTCGAAATATTAATTCGATCAGTAATGCTGACCAAATCATAATTTATAAATTGCTCTGTAAAAAAAAATGTATGCCTACTAATCTTGGTTTGAAAAGACCGAAATATACATATTTTCCAAATGTGACCCTTTTCTCTGACTTACCTAACGTTAACATGAAGTATTTCAACAAAATTCCCGAAAAATTCTTCATAAAATTGGGAGTACGCAAGGTAAACATCGATGCATTTATATATCTTAGATGTCTTTACAACGTTAAGTAAATTTTTGTATAATAAAAAATATAGTGTGCAGAGTTGGAACTTGTCTTTGATCGTTTGGCTAGTTCAGGAAATTTTGATCACACGCAGCTTGTGAAATATTTCACTCAGAATGAGGAAAACCTTAAGAAAAGAGAAATTGAAAAATTAAAGTCTACAGCAATTTGGTTAAGAGAACAGCAAGTTGAAAATGTTAACGTGATAAAACATGGAAAGAGTGGGGCTGGAAATAATATTCCAAGGCTTGAAGGTCAAAGATATCTTGCAAAGGATTTGTACGTCCCATATGTTCAAAATAGAGATCTTGAATTACCCATAATCCAGTGGAAGGGAAGATGGAACAATTACATGAATGAAGGTATGTGTACTGTATTTGCAAAAATTGGCAAAATTTCTTTGTCAATTATTCTTTTTAATCACGAGGTATATGATAACTCTAGAAAAATTTCTTATCAAGCTGGGTATACAACTTCATCCATCTCTTCAAACTATACTTAAACTTGCAACACCAGTTACGAATATTACAATTCGTAACAAAGCTCTTGATTATTTTATTAAAAATTTCGATATTTACCGCAAAGAGTACGATGCAAACTTAGTCCAAGAGAAATTCTTACCTTGCATTGATGATACTTATGCCAAACCATCAGAATGTTTCTCAAATTGTGAATGTATGGTAATGAGATTCAACGCTTTACGTAAAGATTTGTGTAATCGAGCTGAAGAATTGGGTGTCCAGCAACATCCACAATCTAAACAGTTGTTGCAAAGGTTATCGCAAGAACCACCAAAGAGTATCTATGAAGCAGAGAAGATTTTCAATTACTTGGCATCACGCAGAGGTGATTTAGACCATTGGGATTGGAAAACCCTTGCAAATCTCAGCTTCATACCTGTCCAGAACAAATCTTTATCTAGTAAAATTACTTACGCTACACCGAAAAATTGTTTTTTGAAAAGTTCGGATGAAAGGTAGGTACATGAATATTTAATTTGTTTGTAAGCATTAACCAAAATTAACATAATTTCATACTAGATTCGTCAAGCTCTTTCCTCACGTTGACTTTGGGGAAAAAGCAAATAAATTTTTGGAAAACTGTGGTGTCAGATTAAATCCGTCCTCAACAACTCTTGCAGAGCTTCTAATTACATCGTCCGAAGAATTTTATGATGATGTAGATAAATATATCACGATTCTCAACATTATAGCCTGTGATTTGAATTCGATAGAAAATAATAAGAGTCTACTTAATAAAATGGGTCAATCCCCAATTCTGTTGGGTGTAAAGAAACCTGAGCAATTTCACTTGGCTAGGGCAAAGGATATATTTATATACGATAATCCATATTATGCAAAAATCTTTAATCCATTGGTTTGCACATTTAATGACAATTTGAAAAAACTATATATAGTATGTAAACTTTTTTCATTTGTATAACCAATTTATTGGTTACAACATAATATTATTTTACACTTATTTCACTTTCTTATTTTCTGAAAAGACATTAGGGTGTCGGTCGCTGGATGAAAGTGTCAAGGAAATGCCTCAGCTGAAAGGCAATGTGACAACATCACAAGCTTCAGACGAAGTGCAACAAAGAATTCTAGAGCGCTTACCTATCTATTATGGCGATATTACCAACGACAACATTAGAAATGACGAGGAATGGATCAAAAAATTGAAAGTTAAAGAGATTCACGAGATCAATATTAGTTATACGCTTGATGCCATCGTAAAAATTGAACCAGCTCGTGCCTGTGTTTATTCAGAAAGTAATAACTCTTTGACTTTATGTGTTACTCGAAGTAAAATAGATTATTTTGACATCTCAAAGGCTTTGCTCAATTATATTCATAAGCATTTTCGACGCGAGAATATTTCACATATGTACAACATTTTAACGCAGTCACAAGAGTTTCTAAAGCGATTATGTCCTTCCAATTATGTTCTAAAGGTAAACAAGGATAAAATACATGGATCATTATCGAAAAAAAAATGGTCAGCTCCTGTGTCATTTAGGACTCTGGAAGCTTTACAAAATGAATTACTTAATTTGATAAATTCTTGCCAGTCCAACTTAGAAGGCACCATAGATAATCAAGCCGTAACTAACACTTTGACAGATTGTAAAACATATTGCGACGTTATACCAGGTATTGACATATACTGTTGTATTTACAGAACAGCAATTATCTGAATACTTAAATATAACTTTTATTTTTTTGATTAGAGTTGTCATTGACTTATGTTGGAATTAAAAATGAAATCAAGCTTTACATTGCAAAAAATCTGGATTCTTCCATCATCTTATCTAAATCTATGGAAAATACATTAATGTGTTTTATTAACATTCTCATAAATCTCGCTGATATCTTTGGCCTTACGCGCGATAAAATTCACATATTTTATGATAATGATTCATCATCTATTGCCTTTAATCGTCAAAATGTTTTATTTTTCAGTCTTAAGTATTATATTGAATCACATTATTCTGAAAATTCAACGCTTTCTGGTAATGCTATGATATCTTGGTTCATGACATTTTGTCATGAGTTAGCGCATAATGCTATTAAACAACATAGTTCCAAACATGAGGTGAGGCATATAATCTTTATTTATTTATTTTTTTTAATAATGTTAAAATGGTTAATATAATTTATTTTGATTTGTTTACTTCTATAAGTATTATTTACAATCATTTGCGAAGCTTTACATGCCGAGGTTGTTTAACAAAATGCAGCAACTTAATATCAGTTTTTAATTTTGGCAGGATTGTACAATTGATTGTCTAATAATCTAATAGTGTCTAATCAAGCCATTAGATAATAGACAAATAAATATAATATAGTTAACAAATAATATAAATAAAATTACATATTTAATCTTCTCAATTCGATAATAATATTTATTCTAACAAGCAGATAATTATTTTAGTAATTTTTAATAATTTAAAAATCTATTTCTATTCCCGCCCATAATAAAATATTTGAGTGTAACATTTGTGCTATGATAACGTCTAGACTACTTTATATAAATAATTCAATTGAATTATACCGGGTGGGTGAAAAGTCTCTATACAGGTCCCTTTTTTTACTATCTCCACTAAGATTTATAGTACTTAATTTTAAATACAATTACCGTAGTGCACTGACTAAAAGACCCCCCATTTTGAATACCCCCTATGTAAAATACCCGGGTATAATATATGGTGTAAAATTATGTAATTCTGGTAAAA